AGAACTGTGCCAGTTGTTTTGGCTACTTTTATTATGTGTTTGGTGTGTTTGGATTAGTTTTGAAGCGTTGAATTTGAATTTATATTAATTGGTAGATTTAAATGACAAAATTTTTTGTTGTTCATAGAAATGCTGTGGAAAACTGATGTTGTTAAAAATAAAATGCTAGGAAAACGCAAATCTTATGACTGGTAGATGTCACTTTTATTTAGAGTTGGAAAGCATAAAAACAAGACATCAAGTTAATATGTTCCTTTGTGTTACATAGCTTAAGTATTTCAAAGTATTCTAAAGTATTTAGATTAAGTTACTAAACCTGAGTAATCTAACTAAATACATTACTGATTACTTTTTAAAGCTTGTATTTTGTAATCTGTAGTGAAATACATTTTAAAAGTAACCTTCCCAGCCCTGACCACGACCCTGTGGAGGGGTAAACAGTGGGGAAGCACAACCTGGTTATCAGGTTCCTTAGAGGGGCGAGGAACCTGTCCCATCTACGCTTTAAAATTGTACGTGGACAGGACACAAAGCTTTAGGACCTCAGAGCAGCTCTTTGTTTGTTACGGAGGTCAGCAGAAGGGGAATGCCATCTCCAAACAGAGGATGGCCCACTGGATAGTGGATGCCATCACCCTGACTTATCAGGCACAAGGCGTGCCCTGCCCGCTCAGGTTGCGAGCTCACTCTACTACCAGTATCGTCCTAATATTCAGTTGCAGTTTATCTAGAATAAATAGTATTATTTTAGTTAAAGAGTTTCTGCTGATCCTCCATTTCCTGAAATCATCAGTTACTTCAGAATTACAGAAGGGTAAAGTCATCTAACACACTTAAAGGTCACATTTGCATTCTATAATTATTTCTGAATTATCAAAGGACTGTTAGATCATTATGATGTTGCGTATCTGACTGTATATAAAGTTCCCTCATGCAGCTGTGAGCAGAATGAAGGATGGATTTCTAAAAGAGGCGTTCAGAGGCCTTTTCCAAACCTCACAGTCTTTCAAGCCATTTTAATACAGCATACTGCTTATAAATCTATTTTAATCATTTGAAGTCTTCTAACAGTATAACAAGATACACAGGAAAAAATTCTACATTGTTTGTGTTGGCCTTGTTTGATCTGGAGTCACATTTTGAGAAGAAATGGATAACATCTCCTCTCCCCACTTTCTCACTGTCACGGCTCTGAATGAGTGGGACTGGACCAGCAGGATCATATTTTTTTCATTTGCTCTTTCAGGTTACCTTCTGACTATTGTTCTTAATGCTGCCTTGATTATGATTATTGCTTTTGAGAAAGCCCTGCATGAGCCCATGTATATTTTCTTGTGTAATCTGTGTGTTAATGATCTGTGTGGATCTACAGGGTTTTATCCCAGGGCTTTGGTATATTTACTCACAGAAACAAACAGGATTTCATTTGAGGAATGTATTGTACAAAGTATTGTCATCATTGTTTATGGTGCTGGTGAATTCTCAAATTTAAGTGTCATGGCTGTTGATAGGTACATAGCGATCTGTCAACCTTTACGTTATCACAGCATTATGTCACCTTTCACTGTGTGGAGCCTGGTGACTTTTATTTGGATATATCCTTGTTTTCTGAGTATAATGGCCATTTTAGTTGCTATGAAATACCCTTTTTGCAGACATGACATAGTTAAACTTTTCTGTGAAAACCTGTCCTTGGTTAATCTTCAATGCAAACAAGATAATTTAAATCGGATTTTTAATGGATGGATGTATGTCACTGCAATTGTCTTAATTAGTTTTGTTCTGATTTCCTATTTTAAAATAATTCTAGCTTGTAGAAAATCTAAAGTAAATCAAGAGAAGTTCTTCAGCACATGTGTACCACACTTGATTTCCTTTCTGAACTACATAGCCTGTGTTTTTTTTGATTCCTCCCAGACAGAATTAAGAGCAAAAACATTGCCTCACATGTTATATACTTTTTTAACTGTTATATTCCTGATTGTTCCCCCTGTTGTCAATCCTGTAATATATGGTATTAAATTAAGTCCAGTAAGGGCAAAAATACTGTGTATTTTCCGAAGTTTTAGGATTAAGACACCATTATAATTTAGTGCTGACTTCTTTTTGTCTTTACTCTGCATTACTCTGACCTTTTATTAAAACAGTTTTTTATTTTGAGATGTTCACATATAATGTTATTTAAACAGGATAATTTATTCTTTAAGCGGTACTATTCATGTTACATGATGTAACAGGAGAATATAAGTGCTTGTGTCTTAGTATTTGACACTGGATATATTTTGCGCAATTAAAGCTGACAAAGCAGGCCTGTGTCACTTTCATTAAAACAATTGTTCTCACAAATACAGTTGATCTGTATAGGTTGCTACAGTATTAACAATGATGATATCAAAAGTATCAAAGTAACACTTTGGTGCCATCTTCTGGTTACAAACCTATATGCTCCCAAGATTTTTGTAAGACTACTGGCAAGCCAAAATCAAGGACTGAATACAATTATAGTTGGTCATTTTCTCTAAAACGATTTTCATTCAGAAATGGCTAAATTTCACAAATAATTACTGTACAAAGAAATTATTCTAGTTGGTCCAATATTGTTATTTGCTGTCCATCACTGAATGTTTCAGTGCAAGAAGATTATACTACAAACCATGCCTTAATAATATGTTGGTAGATTGCATGCAAGCAAGATATCCATAAATATATATAAAAAAATAAATAAATAGGCAAAGCAGGGTGAGAAAAATTCCTAAGAAAAACAGCAAGACAGCTGGCTCGTTATGCTTGTCATGTGACACAGCAGCCACAATAGCGCTGTATAACTGATATAGGCTTATGTTTTATTTTATTTTATTCCCTTTTTATTCGAAATATTTCCAAACACGTTAACTATAGCGTCAGGAAATATCTCGATTCTCAAACATGTGTAAGTAAATGTGTTTTGCACCAGATGCAAACGTAGATTAATAGTGTATGCTAATCTTTTTACTTAAGTACCAGATATGGGTGTCATGCCATAAAATATTTTTAATACGACTGACTTTGTATTTAATGTCAATTTAATAACAATATTGTAAGTTACTAACATTTTCATTTTACAGAGAGCAAAGAACATTTAGGCCACATTATCAACATTTTCACTTCAGTCTAGCCAGAGTTCAGGCACTCTCAAAAACTCCCATTTAAATCACTGAAGCTGTTTACACTGTGAAATGAATATCTTACTTACATGTGTACGCACATCTGCACTTTGTTGTTTATAATTCAGTCAGCCAGCAAGTGAACGAAACACCGCGTTTCAGCGATGACTCATCTGAACGTCTCTGATTGGCCATTGCATTCATAAGCTCAACAGAATCGTGAGTGATTGGTTATAATGCAGCGCTGTACAAACGCGTCTGTCCCTGTCTCTGAATTTAGCAGCTGATGCTGTGCCGCACTGAACGATCTAATCACACCGGTGTGATTGTATCAAATATAAAAAATATTATTCGGCTATTTTTGTCTTTTGGAAGCTGCATTTAAAATCCACTTGGCTCAGAAATCTGAGGGTGCACGTGCCACCTCACTTTGAATGGGCATGAGTCATGACGCCTCTGGGTGGAACGGTTCTCTAAAAAAAAGAAACAAAAAAAAATTGAATGGTTGGGCACGCACTTGCACCGCGGTTCAACTTAAAGGGTTAGTTCACCCAAAAATGAAAATTAGCCTGTGTTTTACTCACCCTCGAAGCATCCTAGCCAGGTGTATATGACTTTCTTCTTTCAGACGAATCCAGTCGGAGTTATATTAAAAATTGTCCTGGCTATTCCAAGCTCTATCATTGCAGTCAGCGGGTGTTGCAGTTGAACAGTCCACAAGTCGTCAAATAAAGCGCTTGCATCCATAATAAAACGTGGCTCACATGGCTCCAGGGGGTGAATAAAGGCCTCCTGTAGTGAATCCATGCATTTTTGTAAGAAAAATATCTAGACTGGCTAGACTGAATTATCACTCGGATTGCCTTTGCTCTCGCACTAAACCGGACGCGCGCTCTCAGATATGCACTGCTCTCCCGCTCTCACCTCATGTTTGCGGCTGAATACAAATGATCATCATAATTAATGGACAACTAGGCTATATCAGGGAAAAGACATATCAGCGCAGTCCGGCGCAGAGAAAAGGGAAAAAAAGCCCGAGATGAAGCCCGTTCATCACAGGTAATACGTTCATAATCCTGTGAAACTGTTTTGACTGTTGACGTTAGTAACGTGTTTTAATGTCGGTAATAATTTCACCACCACCAACAACGCATCTGACTTAATATTCTAGTTTCCATGACTTAAAATAAAAACTACGAGGCAATATATGGTATATAGTTTAAATATAGTTTCATTGAATAACACTGTTAAAATACATAAAGTAATACAAA